TTCTGCCCCTTACAAAATGTGTACTGTCTGATCAGCTGTGATAATGTAAGTGTACCCAGCACTGTCACATTTCTATACACTTTAGAGTGAGTCTGAAACTTAGAAAACACAGAACTGGTGAGTTTAAAAAAAGAGCCCTAGGGTTAAACTGAATGAAAACTCAAATATAAATGTTTGCTCCTCATTTTTTGGAACCACTGAACAGAAACAGTGAGTCAGGCTTCCATTGTGCACCAAAATATAGCAAACATTTGCTTTCCTTTCTTGTATTGAAAACATGCCTGGAGAAGTCATTTGCAGTGTTATGTACTTTTAAGTTTTGGGTTTTAATCTTCTAGGGTCTTACTCTAAACAAAAGACCTTTTGGGTGTGAATTTAATATTCTAAGGTGCATTTATTTCAGAAGTGTCACTTCTCTCTGCCATTGAAAGTGTTCTGGGGGGGTAGTTTTGATCAGTTTGGGGTTGTTTTGTATGGTCTCTCCCTCTCACTGGTAATTACTAGAGGGAGTCAAGATTAAATAGAATTTTTTTGCCATGTAAGTATAACATGTTCCATAGCTATGATATGGTGAAAGTTAAAACAAAATTGCTTTCTTGTAGATTTGGTTTAATATGCAAGACTATGATTCCCCAGTACGGATAAATTTTGATACCAGCAAACCAAAACTTTGGAAGTCTTTCTTTTCCAGAAGTTTGCCATACCCAGGTCTCTACAGCATTCAGGTATTAATGGATCTATTACCAACTCAACTGAAGAGATTGCAATCACAGGCTTAGTATGAAGAAGTAGAGAATAAGATATTTATGGCTAATTATATTTATTTAATAGTATTGGCTCTTAAAAATATTTTCCCAGACACTCCTTAAAACATGAAAACAGGAATAGGGCAAAGTCTTTGGTTTTATATGGAATGAATGCACAGCTGTTGTCTTCTGTGTAAGATCTCAGAACAACAGTGAAGTAAATGGGACAAATCTCTTAACACAACCCTATCCCAAGAAGTAACATGGTGTTATAAAGAAAATGTCAACTTTTGCCTTACAGCTAGGAAGGCATTATTTCAAGCTGTACACACATCCTTTGCAAACCACCAGGAATTTTTCTTGTTTACTACAGGTACAGTTTCATCAGAAAAGAAAAAAAACACATCATTACACACAAACATCTCAAATGTTTTTATTAAAATACAAAATAATGGTCTACTAAATAATATTCACATAATGGTACTCACATGTTCATTCTCAGTGGAACTCCTGAAGTTCCATTGCTGTATAGCTAGAAGAAACTGTGTTTTTTAATATTTAACCTTTGTATTTATTGCTAGCCTGAAGAATTAGTTTATCAGCACTCAGACAAGGCTGCTGCAGTGGAACTACAAGGCAGGTAATTTTACCAAAACAAATGTTGTCAGTGCTCATCACTAGAGGTGGAACATCTTTTTACATCCCCCTCAAGTATGTTCATGCACAGGTGCTAAAAACCTGCTTTGAACACTAGGAATTGACAATGGCCAAAAAAAAGTCAGCTTTAAATGCTCTTTTAGAGATTACCAGATAGAAAAAACTGATCTGGCAGTGCTGTAGTTTCCTAATAAGCAAAAGAGGGTTGTAAGCCCCTGGCCTCCCACGGTTAGTGGAGATGCAGGCACCATATAGCTATGCTGGGATTGCTTTTCTGTGCTTTTAAATAGCACTCAATTTAACTGAGGTATTTATCTTCCCCGTAAGTGTGTCAAGGTGTCCAGTAAATACCAACCTGTAGTAATTAGTATATTTTATTACAGGATTGAAAAACTATTAAAAGATAAGATTATGGAATGGAGACCAAGGCATCTAACTCGCTGGAACAGGTACTGTACCTCTACCCTCCGTAACTTTCTACCACTGCTGGAACAAAACCAAGGCAAAGATGTAGAAGATGACCATGAGGCAGAGCTGCAAAAACAGCTGGGAGATTACAAGGTACAGTTGTGAATGTGTATGGCTTGTGCATAGAACTAGGAGACTAAAGTCCTAGGATTTAGTACCGGTACTCGGGTATAAAAAGCTTTTGTACCACAAGATAAACCAATGCAATATTTATGGAGTGAAGGAGTGATAATTTCTTTGATTTCATTTGTTGATGTTGAAGATAAAAACCTCTATTGAATATAAAGATAAACTGGCTGCACTGTTCTTGTGTTACTGCTGTACCAGAGCAGTCACTACCTCCAATACATAAATGCAGGTGCTGTCTCCAAGCACTGAATGCTTCTGTGTTAATCAGTGCAGTAGTTCTCAAGTCTGGTCAGTATGAACCTGGCACTGGTGCTAAGTAATGCAACACAGTCCACTTTCAAGGACAGCAATGTGCTCTACACTTCAGCTGTCTACTCTTTGCTCCACCCTTTAAAGACAGAAGAATACTTACTTCAGTATTCATTGATGCCACTAGTGTATTTATACATTTCCTCCAGACCGTTCTAAAGGGTTAGTCCTTTTGCTCTTCAGGTGAAACACTCATGTTACCAATACTGTGCATAACCATGGCAACTTCCAAAAGAGTTGAGGTTTCTGTTGGACCTGAAATGTATTATGGGCAAGAAACACCTGCCACCTCACATCCCAAGCCAGAAGAATATAATGAATTAAAACCAGTTAAGAGGAAGAAAAGCCACAAAGTTCTGCTGTATGCCTTCAGTAACATCCTTTTATTCTACTGGATTTCTAAATATCTTTAGTTTGAACAGAACCCAAACTACAGAGGAAAAACATCCAAAGTTTGCCAGGATTATATGAAATAGGGAGGTGGTATTAAAATACAAAATGTGCTTTTTATTGCATCTCCTCAGGCCAGCAACAGAACAGATACATTTGCATGCACAGTGAAACAGATTTAATTTTAAAACTATGCATTTATTCAGGTGCCTTTACCTTTTCTTCTTACCTTATGAGGTGTTTTTTTTTCCTTTCTTTCTTCCAGATCTCTGGATTTCCCATTCACAGGCCATTTTCTGAAGTCAGGCCTTTAATAGAAGCTGTACACAGCACAGGAGTTCATACCATTGACATTTCCAATGTTGAATTTGCTTTAGCTGTATATGTTCATGCGTATCCCCAAAATGTTTTCTCTGTATGGATTTATGTGGCTTCGCTTGTACGAAATAAGTAGTATGGACTAATCAGAATACTTGGAAGAAATTTGCTAATGTAAGGGTAAATAACAGATTTCTCACACTTCTGAATCCCAAGTGAGAACCTGATTTTGAGTAGCTGCAAATACATGAGCTTTATTCACCCTGCAACCACTGAAGATATTTAGTGGTGTAAGACACATTTCCTTTAAAAGTTAAAGACAAAGTATTTTAATAAACGTTTGTACCAAAAAAGTTAATGAGTTTGTACTAATTTTATACAAGAATTTCTGACTGTTACTATGTAGTACAAGTTCCCTCAAGTTACTTTGCTAATGTTTTACTAGGGTAAGTTTACTAAAAATAAAATTCACTTCTTAGTGTGTAAAGTGGTGTTAACTGCTAATGCTGATATAAAGTATATATCCTTTTCCTGCAGTTACCTTACTAATTAAACTCTTCCAGGCAAAAATGATGGTGGGTTGAGCTTAAAAAAGGATGTTCATCAGAACACACCAGAGATTGCTCTTAAGTTTAATTCCAAATAAGTCTCAGACCATCTAATAAATACTAGACAAAATCTTTGGTTTAGAACCTGTGGTTGCCATGACAGGTTACCTCCATAAACCTCCAGGAGAAAGGAGTAACTGTGCTAACATGCTTTGCTGAACAACACTGGTAACATCTCCCAAGTTTAGTCCAAGTCCCCTGCAGAGAAAGGTGAAGTGAACAGAACTTTCTGCAGCTCATTGAGCCCTCAGCTTTGTCTTTGCCAGTCTGCAAAGAAACCACTACCTACCAGCAAGGAGAAGGACCTCTAGCTGCACTTTCCCAACCTCAGAAACAAGAGTTTTGGAACACAGACAGATGCAAGAAAGCCAACTGTGTCTCTCATTCCTTCCACTATGCCTCAGTCAGCATTGCACAGATGGACACGTATGTACCCTAACTTTTGGGCACTACATACATTTAATGCAGCTTGAATCAACAGTTCTTGGAATAATGGTATCCTTCTACACCTCTTCTGTAGGCTTCTAACTGAGCACTGTACATTCTGCCTGTAGTTCACATTCAGCTGTTAACCATGAGCAGCTAACTGCACCAACTCCACATCCACCAGTATTTTCCTTATCTTACTGCTCCTCAGTATTAGGGGGACCAAGATGGTATGAAAACTTGCAGTTTCATGTAATCTCCAGCAGTGCCTTCAAGTGCACTTCCCAGACACCAAGAATCTTCAAAGCCACATATGCCACCATGGCTCCTGTCCTAAATAACACTACTTAAAAGAATGTATCCAATTAGTAGAACAGGTAAAAATTACTAGTGTTACATGTCAGACTTAAAAATTAGGCAGGATGGGGTGATAAAAACAACCTATCAGCCTTCTGCAAAGGCTGCCACCTCCCCCTCTTCTGCCCAAAAGAAAAACCACCTGCAATTATGCCACTTGAGCAGGTCACATTAACGGGCTACACTACTCAGTCTTGCAGCAGGCTCTTTTCCAGACCACCCCACACACAATTTATACATTTCTCTTTATTTTAGCGCAGATTTCGCTCAGCCCAACAACAGAGTCTGCCTTCTTGCTAGTCTCTACTGTTCAGTGAGGGCTTGTTTGCTTTTAAATCAAAGCAGCGGGGAAAGCTGAGTGTTGTCTTCCACAAATTTCAAATGAAGGAAAACTACCTTCCTTGCAAGTTGTTTCAAAAATGCATCTTAACACAATCATGGGAAGAAAGAAATGAAAACAACCCCCCACACACTGCAAGGTTCAGGGCTCTGCAAGCACCACACCTACCCATCCCATCACTGCAGCCTATTGGCATTAGACTCCTGGATACTACACCTCAAAAGCATATACATTCAACTGCTGCATACATACTTTTTTATTGGTGGGAATGTTTTATTTAAGTATGTCTTTCAAGCCCAAATACAAAACCAAATGCAAAAGGAAGGTGGGAATTTCCCTAATTTTGCAATATGAAGAATTACTTCAGGATAAGGGGAAAGGGGAAGAAACAAGGTTCCTAAAGATGTAGAATTGTTACCCAAATGCAAACAATACATTTAAAATTCTCTGCAGAGCTTTATATTGTACTTATGGATTCCAAATAAAAAACCCATTCACTTAACACAAAATAATCCCGTAAAGTATATTTAAGTGCCAAACTTAAAAGAAAGTGGCATTTAAAAAAAAAATTTGGATGTTTTCCCATCTTCCCCAAATTAAGAACAAAACTCAACACCCTTCAAACCAAATGAGATTTTGTGAGATTGTTACAACACTGTACAGTACACTCATAATTAAGATTTGGAAGTTGTGGGCAGGGTCAGGCTAGTATAACAGATCTCTCTCCAAGGATTGTTAACACAAGATGCAAACTGTAAGTAAAGTGCATGAAAGGAAGCCTGCTCAGCTAAATGAAGGAGACTGAAAGAGCAGAAGTCAGAGGTCATTCACCAGAGCGGCAGCAGGCCCGAAAACCACACTGCAAATTCTGGCATCCACTGGCGGTTTCAGCATGAGGACCTGCACAAAAACAGAACAAATGTGAAAAGAAGAAAGGGCCATTTACTTGGATTCTGAATTACCATAACCTGGTAATACACTAAACTTCATTTACCACTGGAGTCTGAAGCACTACTATCACAATGTAAAAACCTCAGTTGGAAGAGTTACTTGTCAAGATCAGTTGATAGCTTAGTCCCATGAAGGTAACACATTCCAAGTGACAGATGTAAAACAAGCAACACTAAACGAGCAAGCTGAAGCAAGCTCTCACAGATAGCTTTCAGAATTGAGGTATATTTTCACAAGGCATATTTAACTCCTGTTTTTCAAATTCAGATGACTATTTAATGGCATTAGCAAAGAAACCATAATCTCCAAACTATTCTATAATGAAAACTCTTTTACTCTGGAAGGTTTTTTCTTCATGAACATGTCATGGTTGGCTAGACTCATGTACTCTGACTGGGAATTCAAAAATAAGGAGAAAAATCACCTTTAGTACCACTGCACTTATCAGAAGCCATAAGGCTAAAAGCTTCCCATTCAAAAAGAAATAAAGTTGTGAGCACAGACAGTATAAACCAATTCTGTAATTCTACCCACCTCCATTTACCTTCACTTACTGTTACCCTTTAATTTGATATGTTAAAAATGATCATGAGATACAAAACTATTACATTTATTAGTACAGGATCTTATTTCCCATAGTCACATGCCTGCTTCAGAGAAAAAAATTCACATTCAGGTTGGCTGAACTCTGGCACCCAACATATATTGGCTGTAGGTTGCTGAGTTAACTCAAACGAGCTGGTAAAGTCCTGGCCAGGATAAACTAGATTTCCCCACTTTGCATTTGAAACAAAGCAAAGAATATTTAAGGTGTTTTGATACATCTAGAAAGGACTAGCAAAATAATATAATGAACTGGGGCACTATGCTATGTTTGGCTTGTTTTTTCCCCTTGAACAGTAACTTAACGTTGTAATTCAATTAATTTCCAAGAACCTGATATCTGGAAAACAGCTTTCTGCTTCTTGCCCCACACGGATCAGCAATGTTGTGCAAGGTAATTAAGTTAACATGCATGAGACTGAATATAACAAACCTGAAGCTATCAGAAAAGACAACACTTACAATATGCAAAACAGTAAACTTTTCATTTGTCGATAAACTCATTTTCCTTTTAAAATGTCTTCATTCACCTGAACTAAGTTTTGATTCTCCAAGTCACTTACGAGCTAGAGTTTGAAAGCTTCTTCTCAAGTCCTGCACAAAGGAGACTCGGTGTTTCTGAACAGCTGGTTTAGCAGAGCATGTTCTGTGCAGCCACATTTTCCAAGTCGGAGCTGACCTTCCTCACCACTGCCACAGCTAAGCAGTGATCTGAAGCGCATTTGAAGCAACAGTCACATTTCTAGTAAAATGCTTGTTGACAAAAATGCAGAGAACCACAACATCCCAAGGAGTGGAATACTCAGTGTTCTTCAATATTGCTCTTCATCCCTTTCTTGCTCATTTTAAGAATGTACTCCCTCATGCTCCTAACTGGAATATGAAAACTGCTTTTCTAGGTCTGACCAATGGTCTGTTTAACCCTACCTTCATCACCAGCAACAGTAAGTGTTACCTAGTGAGACAATATAAGCCTATTGTGCATACCTTCTGTATCTCCCCTGTACCCCTAGCTGCTGTAATAGGGACAATAAAGTCCATTCCTTTTAGTATATGTTTACAGCTCTGCTGCACATGCATTTATTTAATCTCTTTTCAAACCTGCTGATATTGCTTCCACAACTTCCCACAGGACCAAGTTCCAGAAGGTCACTACATTCTGCATGTACTTTAAATCAATTGCCTACCCCCTTCATCTGCTTTTGCTGAGTTCTAATACTGGAGAATTTGGAGAGCTGCTGTTCACCTCATCTGCTGCTTTCCCTGTTCTGCAGTCACCCCCTTTTCAGCCTTTTCATTCCCAGATAGAAACACTCCAGGCTTTTGAGTGTCTCCTTGCAAGACAGCTGCTCAGCTCCCTAACTCTTCAGAAGAGATGTCTCTTCTGTATCTTCTGTTAACTCCATTACATACACTCCTCAAGATGGGGAAACCAAAACTGCATGCAGGACTCCAAATGTGAGTGCCCCAAGGCTTCCAGGACCCATGCAGCAACACCCTGTATCTTGCTCTCAACACCCTGATGACGCATAACATTGGTGGCTTTTTTCTCTGCTGCTGCAAACAGGAAAGATCTCAGAATTAGCACCAACAGCTCTCTGAAATGATTGTCTCCATGTTGAAACTGCCAGTTCTGAATTCAGTTTCATGCAATCACAGTTTGATTATTCCCAACCACCCAGACATATAACCATACATACAGCTGTAGTGAAGCTCATAAGAAGTCCTTCTGGAAATCTTCAGCACCAGTACCATTACTTCAGATAGCTCAGTACCACTCACATTTGGAAATGACAGTGTGCATTTCTTGTACCGTGACAACAATGGACATGCTGAAGAAGACCGATCACAACACAGAACTCTCGGGGGGGCAGGAATGGGAAGAGAGATGTCATCTCCCAGATTCCTGTCTGCCCTGAACAGTGGCCATTAAGCCCTGCCCTTTCTTCCTTTAACTAGTTTTCTGGTTTTAAATTTAAACCAGTCTTACAGAAACGTCTATAAGTAAACTGCGGCATTTGAAACATTTATATGTTCATTTCCTAATTTATTACAAATAAATAATTACAAATTAAATTAATTACAAATTACATTAAATCAGATCACAGTGAAAATTTACCCTTCTTCCAATGCTTCATTTTTTTGTCCCATGTCTAATCCTCATCCCATCACTAACTTTCCTTTATAACCTCTGATAAACAACTCTGAAAAAAAAAAATATTCAGGCTCCTAACCACATCTCCTGAACCCTCCCATCCTATATTCTTTCTCAGCAGAGACAGGCAATTCCTGTAATCTGAAGGGTGTTCTATGCTTCTACTACAACAAGGTAGTAAGAGTAAGTAACAGCTATTTTAATAAGGTTCTTTGGTTATAACTCATTTATGTTTTGACACAGCAATTGATCTCCTTCATCACAAGTCATTTATCTCCTCTAAATGTCCTTGCCCTCCATAGCTTATTCTTTTCACATCTGATAAAGGTAACAAAATGGAAACACCTTTGCTTTTTATACCCACGAGAGACCATCTTTATCTCCCTTGCTTTATTTACTACAACTGACTTTTGGCTACACCACTTTGACTTCCTAATCTCCCATTTTCCCACATTTTGCTGCTAACCTCATTTGGACTAGACTGTGTTTTCCAACTATCCCTGCTTAAGTTTGATTGGCCTCTTTCTCCTGTTTTCTTTAGACTCCATATACAAGGTCTCCAATCCATCTCACCTTACTGGTGCACCAGATTAAGCAATATGGTAACTGTGTAAAGTTCCTTTAACATCATCTGCTGAGCAAGACTGTCATTTCAGATCTTATAGTGGGGCTGGATCACTTTCAGAAGGATCCTTCTCTTTCTGCTGACTGTGAAGACTTAATAAGCACTACTAGTGAAGTGCCTAAATAAAATGTGTTTTGGGCTAATTCACCTCGGAAAACATAGTTAATCAGATTCTCATCTAACCTGCTACTGTCTATGCTACTGGTTTAGTTACCTCTAAACAGGATTATTATAATGCTCTTTACAAGCACATCTTCTTAGTCAGATGCTTCAGGAGACCCAGAATAGAGGTTACTCATGATGAGCAGCTCTCAGTGTTTTCAGATAAAGTACATATAAGCACATCTTGCAATGTAAAAAAGAAGCATAGCTATTTGATTACTCCATTTTGTTATATGTACTAGTGAAACAAAAATTAGTCAAAACTTCCTAGAGAGAAGTTAGGCATTTCACCAAGAATACATGACAACCCAGACCAAGACCACATTGGAAGAGTCACTGCAGCAAAGACAGATGGCTGCCACCACCACATCCCGTTAGTCACTTGTTCTAGCTCTCATTCATGTGGCCTACAGCGAGATGGACCCCTGACCCGTCTAGGAAGAAAAAGAAAAGCTTTCAGCTACCCAGTTCTGGATTGAGTTTACCAAGCAGAGCCACAAGACTACTGCTGACCTCAGGAAGGCAGTAAGAATGAGCTGGGAAGAATGCAAAGGAGGGAACACATTTCTTTTCAACAGCTCCACCAGCAAGATGCTCTATCATCAACATTGAATACTGTATTTAATGGCAACATAGCAAAATTAACACATTACAAGGGAATTAGTAAAAAAAGTTATCAAATTAAGCATTAGTTTTAATATATATATATAAAAGCAATGTTAAATTAAAATCTCAGTTTACTAAATGCTACCTTCTATCAGCCTTTGGTAAAGTCACACTTACAGATCATAAAGATCTGTAAGAGAGCACCTCAAGATCTCAAGAGAGTGCCTTGATTATCTGCAGAACTTCAAGAGTTTGATCTAATAACAATGCATTCCCATATACATTTGCAAAAATGAGTCCATAAAACTTAACAGAAATTGCAAAGTCTTGGCTCTGTTGCTGGAAGACAGATCAAATTATGACCAATGAAATTTCTAAATGCGAGAAGAAAAGAGTGAATCATCAGAATCACCACAGCTTTATTTCATTAATGCCTGATTCCTTTAATTACAGCTGAGGACTGCATAATTAAAAAACTCTAGAGGCTGAATCATACTTAAAACCTGCAAAGAGCTACTGCTGCAGAAATTAGGGAGCCCCACTCTTCTCCACTCCAGGCTTTAAAACTGAGAATACAATAAGGAGACTGAATACAGCCTGTGGAGAAATATGAACTTCTAAATGTCAAGAGGTAACTCATACATTAAACTCATGATTCATGATTGTAAATCAAATGTGGTTTAGACATTAAATAAAGCCAGGAACTAGAAGCGGTGTGCACTGTCTGATTTTCTTTCTGCTGCAGATGCTTGGGTGCTGAGCAAAGCATGGGTAGTGAACCTAAACATAAGTATGCAAACCAAGAACTGAAGTCATACTGACAGCAAACAAACAGAAAATAAATTTGGAATATGTGCAAATTCATGGTCTCTGCTCATATAAAAACTGCATCACATTATGGCTGTGCAACAGCAGCCTGTGACTCAGACCCAACCCTGTCTTTGGTTTTCATCTAACTGAAGAGGTAGTGCAGCTTTAGTTAGACCAGCACTTGCAATGAAAAATCTGAAAATTGCCTACCAAACAAGTCCAGCAAGCTCTCCGCAAAGCAAATCCAATGAAGCTGTTTGTAGGGGGCCCCCCTTAGGTTTATAGAAAAATAAATAAACCTGAAAATAGGCTGTAGGTGAAAGTTAAGCCCTTATATGTCAACAGACAACGAAGTGATATTTTTGAGTAACAAAGATGGCTAAATTCCATGCTGTTGGCTCCATTTTTTGTTCTGCAAAACTGACAGGTTTTCCAGCATGATCTCAGAACATATCTCCTTCCCCAAAAAAAAACCCTGATAAGCTGATGGGCAAAGAAAGTTATTATTCTCTACAATCTTACAACCAATAATCTTTGTGCAGGAAGTAATAATATAATTTATATATGCTAACAAACATAAACAGCTTCAGATATGGATTTATTTAAAAGAAATAATTATTGCTTTCCCTAGTTACTTTAGAAATACCAAGTGATACTGAAATAGATGAAGCTGTCAGAGAAATCCTGCTGCCACAGGATGGAATAATGCATTAGTTTCACACTGAAAAGCCCTTCCCCAATGAAGTTTGAGGCAAAATACAAAGAACAGTACCCAGATAAAACTGCAGGAAATTCAGTTATAAAAGACTGATTCCCATTTCAGAATTTTGCTTCAGAATCCCCTGGAGGTGCTTACTGACTTCCTTCACAAAGAAAACAGCCACAAACTTCTGAGATGCTACTACTTCTCAAGACATGTGAGAAGTCAAGACTAACAGCATCACTCTCCTGTTGATTTCTCTCTACAGCAGTAACTGTTGATCCAAAGGCATCCACGATGCTTTACAGAACCAATCAAAGCTTATAGGCTTACAGCTTCCAGCATGCAATAGAAGGAAGAAAATAAACAGGAAGAGGATGAAGACACCTTTGCAGAGTAATTCCAAAATGTATGCTGCTTAAAAATACGTAATTTCTTGAGGATATTATGGAACAGCCAAGCTTTAAAGCAGTGTACTCACACAAGAGATTCTGGCTTTGTAAACTACCACTAAAACAGCACAGTAAATTTTAGGGACAAGGAGCAACAGAAATGTCTGAAGGCAAAACAGAACATCAAGTCTGGTATCACTGACATAAGCGAAACCAGGAAAAACAGAAAGGAATCAGATATAAAAGAAAAAAGGCTTTTAAATGGTCTTTGAAGACATCTTTAAACCCAGCACAAAGCAAAAAGGACATTCAGTGAAGGATTTTTAAAAAGGAACCTTAAAATTTTCAGGCTGAAATCCTAGAAGACAGTTAAAAGCTGTAGCAAGGATGGAATGGAAGGAAGTTAGAAAAAGCATCTCAAAAGAAAAAAAAAGCCAAAGCAGCAGTGTCAAAAAAGTGCATAAAGAAGCGCAAAAAATATGGAAGCAAAATACGATTTAATGCTTCTACTTCTTCTAGTCCAAGTGCATCATCTCAAACCCATTCCAATGGACTGAACACCAAAACATCAGTGCGGATTTACTTGTAGCACCAGAGCCCTGACAACCTTGTACACCTGCCGTGGCTGCACCTCGATACAGATGCAAATTACACAGCTCAACACCATGAACTATCAGTGAATATAATTTTGTTTTACAGACAATTAGCCCTTATAATCCTGTGAACACAGTTATTATCCTCCTTTTCCTTCCCCACACCTTTCTATTGCACTTACCTGTTTTATATTCACATATAGATTTTAAGTCACACCATGGCTTCCATCTCTACAGCTATGAATGCTTACTGGGCCTAACATAATAGATTGAACTCCAGTGTGGTAAACCCTGAAGCAACTTGCACCATAAATGTATTTCATGCATTTATGCAGATCTTTCCGCAGCTTAGATACATCCCTAACTTACTGACTCAAGAAAAAACAGGAAAAATTAAATTATATTTTCCATAGAGACACGTGATGATAGGATAAAAAATATCCTAGACCAAAACTACTCCAATATGGGAGGTTTGCATGACAAAACATGTAATTCCTTTCCTAAAAATCACCACTTTGGTACCAGTCTATTGAAGCCTCTGTCTGAAGTTACAACCATTAATAAAACATACAGCTATACGGGTTTACAGGACAAGTGTGTATTTGATACACAGAGAATTACTACCTAGCCCCTGTTACTTGTGCTGAAATAAATTGAGATACATGGACCAAAAGTTTAATACAGAACTGTACTAGTGACTAGCAAAAAAACCCAGCAGAACAAATGAATCTGTGAAACTCAGTGCTACACAGCCAAGAAAAAAAAAAAAAAAAAAAAGTTGGGTTTTGGTTCTTTTTGTTTTGTTTTACAAAGTGTCCTTAAACCAAACATGGCACCCCAGAAAACCACCACATCTTCATAAAAAGACATTACCGTTAATGTTGTCACAGTAGTAAAAGTGTTCATCGTTTAGAGAAGGACATGCAGAAACTAAATCCTGCAGGCCTGCACCAGTTACAGTGAGACAACCCGAGAGGTTAAGGTGTTCCAGATGTGGAAGTCCTCCTCCCAGAGTCAATGCCCTGTTAACAGACGGAGATGTGTTAAGAGCCTGCACAGTGCCAGACCGATAAATACTCCAACATGTCGCCAGGTCACAGACTTAACTTCATCTCATAACATCACCTCTAATGAACAGTGTAGTTTTAAATCTGGCAGTTTCATGCCTTGTAGAGAGGATCACCCCTGAAGCTGCGTAACAGACCTGAAAATTGAACCGATTTCTACAGAAATCAACAATCCCTTCTGACAGACTTAAATGGTAAATCACTTTGTTTATTAATTACTTCAGAGCTGACCAAGTATTTCAAGGAACTATCAAGACATTCTTAGGCAAAACACCACTGATTTTGACAACTCTTTCAAGGTTATGTGTATTTCTTGACCCACCCCATAAACATGACATTCCCGGATTTGGCTCATTATGCTTCCAAAACTTTAACTGTCTCATTTTTTCAGTTAACTTTACTTTGGAATCCAAATTTATATTTTCCCCAAGACTGACAGCAAAGCCTCTCTCTGCCAACATGCTACCTTATTATTCATGGGGATTTCTCTGTTGTTTTTTTTTTTAAAATATATCACACCTGAGCAATCCCTGTATTCCTACTTGCCCCTCTGCAAGTTCACAGGGCAGCGAGCCCAAGTTCTGTCACAAACAGGCTCATCCAGCTGAAAAAAACACCAGGCCTGAATCACCACACTAGAGATCCAAGCCAGCACATAAAACTGAAAATGCGTTCAGAACATCACTGCACAACTTTCTCCTGTCAGCCAGCAGAACTACTGACCACAAAGCCAGCTATCAGTTAACAGCTTTCTATGAAATGAACCGGCAAGCGTTTCTATTGGGAGGTTTCATTCTCCCCAAGGGACTACTCCAGTGAGTGCAAGAAGCATATTTTGCAGCACCTTCTCAGCACTTAAATACTGTGTCTTATCCAAAAAGCAACGAGACACTCGCAAAACAACAAAACTCCTCCCATGACTCGACTCAATTTCCCTTTGGTCCGAGACTACCGAGTCATGAAAAAACAGACCAGTAACACACCAGCTACAGACCGCATGACCTAACCAGCAGTATTATCCTCTCTGCCACTTGAACAGTAACAAGCTCAAACATGAAGGAGAACTATCTGAAGCTTACTCTGAGCAAAAGTAACCCTGGTGAGTGAAAGAAAGTCCAAAGAACCACCACAGGAGATGTTTGGGCAGCTGGTGCTTCTGAATATCAAATGGGAATGAAGCCTCCAGAGAGACAAATCAATGCCAGCAGCACCTCACAGTACTTCTCAGTTGAATACAGCATGAAGTACAGGTAGGCATGAAGTCTTCCCACTCTGAGAAGCTTTAATTAGCCTTAAGTGCTGCAGCACACCTGGGTAGCAAGTACTTCAGCCTCATCACGTTTTTAGTATGAAGCATTAACGACATTTTTCTGACATAAGACAATATACCAATGACAAATATTATCCCACATAGGAAGTCTTGTAACTCTCCTGAATTTATCAACCCTCAAGTCAACTTCAACTATTTTTTCTCTTCCTTTGTCATATTAACTCACATTCAACATGATGCTCTGCACACGCAAAATTATCAGAAAAGCACAGAATCATTTAGGGTGGAAAAGATGATTAAGATCAGAGTCCAACTGCTACCCTAGCACACTGACAAGTCCACCATTAAATCATGTCCCTAAGCACAACATATACACATCTAAATACCTCCAGGGATGGCGACTCCACCACTTCCCTGGGCAGCCCTTTCTAGTCCTTGACAATACTTTTGGTAAATACATCTTTCCCAATATCCAATCTAAACCTCCCCTGGTGCAACCTGAGGGGCCATTTCCTCTAGTCCTATCACATCTGGGAGAAGGGACCTACCCCCACCTAGCTCCAACCTCCTTTCTGGTAGCTGTAGAGAGCAATAAGGTCTCACCTCAGCCTCCTTTTCTCCAGACTAAACAAGCCCAGTTCCCTTAGGCATTTCTCCTAAGACCCTTCACAAGCTTCACTGCCCTTCTCTGGACTCACTCCAGCTCCCATCTGGACTCATTCCAGCCCCTCTGTGTCTTTATTGTTGTGAGGGGTCCAGAACTGCACAGAGCACTCGAGGTGCAGCCTCACCAGTGCCGAGTACGGGATGCTGATGGCCTTCTTGGCCTCCTGGGCACACTGCTGGCTAATATTCAGCCAGCTGTTGATGAACACCCCTGGGTCCTTTTCCACTGGCCAGCTTTCCAGCCACTCTCCCACAATCCTGTGGTATTACATAGGGTTATTGTGACCCAAGTGCAGGAACTGACACCTGGCCTTGTTGAAACTCATACAACGGGCCTCAGCCCATCAATCCAGCCTGTCCATAAATTATGACATTATCCAGAAAGGCTAATTGACACATTACTCCAGTTTTATGAAGTTTTAGGTATACTGACAGGCATAATGGAAAAACCAGTGAATCAACACAACTTCCTAATAAGAAATCACTAAAAATCAAAACTAAAAGCATTAATACTACCTAGAACAACAAAATAAAAAATACTTTACTTCAGAGGATACCTCTAAAAGATTGTGTATTTTTTAAATTCCCAGAGGAAAAGCTGGAGAAAATTTTCCAGTCTGCTATTATTAAAATGTTAAGATGCAATGACCACTTCAAACTTACCAGTTTCTTCAACAATGTTTCTACCAAAACTAGGTAAATTAATCCCAGAATGTCCCACCAAATAAAATTTTAAAAAATGTACTGCAGCAAAATAGCTCTTAAAAATGTCTTCTCACCTGAGAGCACGGTCTGTGATCTGGTAACACCCAGACAGACTGAGAAACTGAAGAACTCGTGCAGTCTCTTCATCTGTTTTTTCACTCCCAGAGTATGCAGAGTCTTTTTTCTCTGACTGCTTAGTCCTTGTTGGTTTTTTACACAGTGCAGAGGACTCTGGAAGTGCCTGAATAGTTCTTAGTGCTGTCCCAGCACAACAGAATGAGTGACCGCAGTAAATCAAGTCAGTAGAAGCACAGTGCTGCTGCCACCCTCTAGTCCTTAATCCATAAATGTCTCTACTGTAGCAAGATGCTGAACAAGTAATATGGGATGTTGGTTCCATAAGACAAAATCCTTCAACATTTCTATGTCTCCACTCTGCAGCATCTTCAATGTCAGCTAAATCATCTGCATCTAGCATCCACACATACGCAGAACTGAAGCTTTCTGAGCCATCGGGTTTAGTCCAATGCTGCTCACCATTTCCTGCCTCAATGAGGTTTTCATTGTTGATCTCATGCAAACAATTATACTTCTTGTTGGACTGCAGAGTAATCTGTCTGTTTTTCCACAAAGTCTTGGCTTTCCTGTTTCTCCAGCTTTTCAGAATACCTCTGGTATGGTGAGTTGACAGGATACCCAGTGCTCTGGAAAGCCTCTCTATAGCCACATCTGTGATTTTTTCACATCCAGACAGATCAAGGTGGCGGAGATTCTGGCAACAACCAATTGACAACCAACTGAAATGAGAACAAAATGGTTTGGTTGGTAGTATTTGGTTTGGTTGTTCTTTTAGTTTTTGTTCAGAAACAGGTGTTAAGACTAAACATATAAAAGAACATTTTCGTAAGTAAAATACTTATATTCATTCACAGCTAGATTTGATCCTCCAAGTGATGTATAAATACCTAGAAAAATTATATCTAAAGAAATGTGAAATCAATCATGAATCAGTAACAACCTGTATTTTTTCTGTAACATAGATAATTAAAAGAAGCCCAAATTTGCCATACATTTAACAAAGTTTTAAATAGTAGATCAGGCTGCAAACACCAAATACACACGACAACGATTTCAAAGGCAGCTTCTGTTGTGTACAACAGATTCATCTTGTTACCAAGAGCCATCTAAGTTACTAGACAACCCAATTAACTTCTCAGAAGGCTAAAAATAACTGAACTTGCTGGACTAGCAAATTTCACTCAAAAAACCCACATGAACTCATCCCTTTGGCCTTATCTTTTCCAACTGAAGAAATCTAATCTACAGTAATATTGTCACATTATTAGCTATAAAAGTATATAACTGATTTAAGTGACCTTTACTTATCTGCAGTTCATGTTAACCATCATTTACTTTCCATAAGCAATTACTTAAATTTACAGCAAGCCAAATTAATTTTTTGAGTTAGTAATACATGACGTACAGCAAATAATGTAAGTTTGACTAGAGATTGACAAAAGCTCACAAAGACTGATATCTTTGGGATCTCACAATAAGGCTCATTGGTGCAGGATCTGCAACCATGCACCATCCCACTGACATCAACAAAATTTCTGCAGACCTCAGTAAAACTCAGGAAGCCAGTTACAGCACCTAAGCTCTAGAGCTTTGCCCATCATTTGATCACTCTCTTAAATGGCAGTATTTCAAACACTGCCAGTTATACTGGACCAACTACCAGTACTGAGGAATTCTGCAAAATCTGTGGACAATTTCAAGTTTTCAATACTAGGACAAAATATAATTATTGTTATAGATAGCTCCACATTGACAGGTAACACATATCCAATAGTGAAGACAGAGCCTTTTAAAGAGCCATTTCAACAAGTTACATGCTTCACTTGCTATTTCACTGATCTGTTACTCTGGTTTAGTTCTTAGTTGTGTGAATCCTGAATGCGATTTCTCTGTTCCTCTTTATTGGCAATGGATTAAGACATTTCTAAATGGTTTTCACTCTCAATAAGCTGGATTTTTATTATTTTTAAGAAAAAATAAATTATCAAACCTTTCAAATGCAGAGTCTGAAATATCAGTTTGAGTGAGATCCAAATATTCCAAGTTTGGGCAAAGCTCCAAGATCTGTCTAACCTGGAAAAGGAAAACAATCAGTGAAGACACAAGGCAATAAGGCTGTGCACAGTGTCAAAAGACAAAATATGAATTAACATTCTCTTGAATTGCAATTCATTTTCATTACTCCAATGTTTTAAACTTAAGCACATCACTTATTAATTAGAGGCTGTATAGCCACAATTATTAAATGCCAGTTTCAAGTTACATACCATTTTGCTGGACACTGCAGAACTGTAGGCCAATACTAATGTCTTCACTGAGGAGCCTACATGTGGGAGAACATTATGAATTAAGCCATGAAGTAAATGTTTTTCCATTTGTGCTATATTAATGGCAAGTGAATCTTCAGCTGCTTCTTCTGCAAAACAAAAGCAAAGAGAAAGACTTAAAATACGCTTTGAGTCATTTGGAATTCACATTGCTATCTTGCATCCAAGAAGTTATCAGAAAACTAAAGAAACCTTAAAGTCGTAAGCTTCAGAAAATACCTACATCAAACTTTTACTGAATTCCAGCTCAACGTGCTTCATAAGTCTCACCTTTAAAAAACCATCTGCTTGTCCTTCTGACAGTATCGATGAGTTTAACTCAAATACCAAGTAAAAACATAAAGTCTTAACAGAAAATTATCATTAAAGAAATTGGGATAAATATTTAGTACAAATCATGCACTGCACAGGGCTCTGCAAGGCAGCTGTTTCCACTGACTTCCACTTGAAATACTATCTGACAGTGCACTTCATATCCAGACATCCCCATAACTCTTTTTCTGCCTGCACTCTCCCAGATTAATTACTTAAGCACATTAGAACCAGCTGCCTGCTTCTCCTCCATCTTGTCCCCCATTCCCCTTTTTTTCCACCCTGCTGAGAGCCACAATGATATGAAGATGAGGAAAAATAGCAGTCCTTTCAAGAACCTTAAGGAGGTGATAGATAAAACTTCCCATGTTCTTTTTACTGAATAAGTCTACTTGACTTAGTATGCATTTAATTTAGACAGAAGTATTATTGCAGTTTCATTATTTTAATGGTGTCAGCTATAATAAAAATCTGTATTTTAAACTGATTTTACATTAAAAACTCCATTTTATACATTTATTTCTTATACCTAGGTCATCTTCCAGGAAAAAAATAAAATCACCAAAACCAGAGTTTACCTACCGGACTCATCTATGTCAGCATCTTCATCCCATTCTTGGAAAGCACGACTTTCATCTTTTCTGTTTTTCACCCATTCTTCATCAGGTTCTGCCTCAAGTTCTGCTGCAGGACCACTGTACCAATCACCTACTCACCCCACCCACCCCAAAAAAGAAGGAAAGGAAAAAGAAAAAAAAAAAATTCAAACAAACCTCTCATTACTGCAAAAAAACAGCAATAACTTCTCAGTATATCGTGACCTGAATTAAAGATATAAATGAATTTTGCATTCATCTCAACTACTGTTAAAGCTTGACATAATTGTTGTTTGGTCTACATTTTAAGGCTTCAAAAGACTGCTGAAACAGTTTCACTACTGTTCCAGAACTCACAGGATATTAAGCTATTTTGAGACTTGCCTGTTGACTTTATTTTCTTAGTAGGGACCAGTAGGATTGCAAAAATAACAGAAACTATTATCGAATATTTGGACTGTGTAGGTGCTCAAGTTTTTTCTGGTAGATAAATAAACCATCAAGTATAATATTAATCAAGACATTTCCGTTTTCCTCTGGAATCTCACAAACATACAGTCAGCCAGGTTGTATTTTATTAGTCTGGTTTTGGCCATTGCACGTGACAACTCCAGGATCAAGAAACTCAAGTTCTGGAAGTAGCCTACTTAAAACAACTATGCAGTATTCAATTATAACATACATATGACTCAAATCAACTTATGATAATTTCTTAGATCATCTTGATCAACATTAAACAACAGCAACTGCTTCACTGTTCTAACTAGTAAAGCAGTCACTCTCCCTGAGGGTTACTGCACAGGCATAATTTACTTGTAGTTTGAGTGTTTTATAGCGTTTGGCTTGGTATATACAGGTCTGCTGCCTCCCTCAACAAAGACAGGCTTAGAAGAGAAACAATTTAATCTAGTGTCTCACTAGTGGGGACCCTTCTATCTCCAAAGCAAGGGCAACCCCTCCTGAGTGGTATCTAGAGGAATGAGTTTTCTATAAGCAACACAGTGACAATGAAATCCTAATCAACTGTCAAACAACTGTGAAACAAAAGGTTTCAGTAACATTTCTCATCTTCTTTAACTCATCTTTACAATACATAAAGAAAACCTCAGAAACCCTCTCTGTATTAGAAGGAAAAAAGTTTAAAAACTAATTCAGCTTGTATTTTTATGGGGTTTTTTTCCTCTTCCAGCAGTAAATCCTATTTGAGAAGCTTCCACCCAGTCTGGAGCACATCTGCACCAACAACTGCAGTAGTATACACAGTAAACTGTAAGACTGGCTTCCTGTTGTGCCAAAACCAGGCTTCGGCATAAGTCATTTTAAGCAGTTGCCAATTATCTTTTTTGCATAGCACTGAATTATCAAGATGACTAGGTTTTGGATGAAAATGAAAATCTAACAATTTGAATTCTGAAACCTCTCCACTCGGTCTTTTGCAGCAGAGGGACTAATCTCTTACTTTCAATAAGATTATACAACTAAAAAAATTAGTTCAGACCCAGAAATCATTTAACTCCCCTCTGCCTCATACAGATTTCAGAAGCCACAAAGGTATGGCTAGAAAGAAGTTTTTAGCTTTTATGTATCTCAGAATTTAAGTTATATATTGCTAGCTTTTTCTCTTAAAATCTTACTTCAGTAGAAGTTACTGAAATAAGATATCTAAAGAATCTATACTAAAACTAACACTCATACAATTTTCTTCAAAGTTTGACCGTAAAAAGTAAGAACAGATTCTGCGGAAATGTTAGAATTCCATTTGTTACAAACTTCCATTCTGCAGCTAAGTCTGAATCACAAGACAGACCTCTGAGAAGAAAGTCTATTAATCAGGAACTAATGAAACACGTATTTTATCTCTGCCTGGTAGCCTCATGAAATAATAATGTTACTCATATAGGTCTAACAACAGCATTTGTAATTCAAAACCTCTTAATTTCTTAAACCATAATTAATCTGTTATATTAATGAATAAACTTGTTAGCATTTACACAAGCAAACAAACTTCAATAAAACTAACAGTTTGTATACAAGAGCTACTCATGAGTTACAACCAAGACAATTTCTAATTTCTTAATTCTACAAGATGGAGATATGTTTTTGACATTTTTAACATTAAACCAAGTTTCAGGGCACTATCCTTGCCAAAAGGGTGTACTCTTCCAGCATGCTAAGATGTCAGGTTCTTTGTACATGACAGCCTATGCTGTTCTCTTATTCAAAGATTCTGATAATTAACATGCTTTCAAAAGAAGAATTATATTTAACCTACCTCTGGCCCAGCGAACAGGATAAAGATGTTTCCAGAGAGATCCAGTTTTAGTCAGCTGTGACCATTCAGTGCTCACTTGACTGCACTGACATAACTCTTGGGGGTTAAGGTAACTGAAAATGGTCAGCATTACTTCAGGAGGAAGGTTAGTAATATTTGTGGTGTGCTCTGTTACTTCAGTTTCTGAAACACAGAAAGCATGTGTTAAGTGAAGCTTTCCTCATAGCTTTCCATAACAACAGTGGAACTCACATGTTGACTAGAACAATGAGAAAAATAGCGTCTGAAATATTTTAAATAATTGTTTGGCAAAATAATTGGAAATAAATAGGTATTGCTTTAGGTTTAAAAAGCTTTTTACTGTCATACCACCTTAAACAACACAATCAGCTTAGTTTTCTCTTCGCCAATTTCTCAGCTGGCTAGTTTTTTTCAACCATGACCCCCCACGAGTCATAAAAGCTCTGGATAAAAGCAAACTGCTGCTACTCAACCACAACAAGATGAAAGCAGTATTTGCTAAAAATGAAATGCTCTAAGAAAATGCCTTATGTCACGGAAGATATATATACCTGCTTTGCCACATTCCCAGGGAACAGCTGGGACCACCCTCACTGAAAGAGCTCAAACTCTTGACTGGAACACAGTAAGAAATCCTCAACTAACTCTTCGCAGCTGTCTCATGTTTTATTGCTAGCTTTAAGTATAGATAATTAATTTTAACTTCTGAACGGTACATGTTGGAAAGTAAACATAAATACTAGGCTAGAGACTAAACTTTTGACCACTGTAATTAATATAATTCAACAGACAGCAGTAGGAACCATCACCAATAGGTATCCTTTAGTGCCAAAGTACAAAGAAAGCTGCAAACTATATAAAATAACAAATTCATAACTTCAGTTAGTTGGGAGTTTTTTGCTGTTTTAAAAGAACTTACAATGCTTTCTTTAAGGACTATTTACTTGAGAAAAAAATATTTTTAATCTAGTTCTCAGGAATCCTTACAAATAGCAGATTTCTCAAATTAGTAGAGGTTTACTTTTAAAGTTAGGACACAAAGTACTTAAGACTTTACAGGGAGACAAGCATCAGGTTTCTTCTTGCAAGGGAGCTTCAAAAGTGAACAAAGTAAACTTTACCCTGTGGTAATCTATTGCTACTTCAAAAAATATAATTAAATACAGTTTCACTTGATGAATCAATATATTTATTCGTACACACGGCAAGTCACTGCAGGAAACTACAGAAAATTGCACACTAAAATGCAACTGAAACAGCACAGGACTGCAAACTGTTATCTTCTCCCATCTTTAAATAATAGATGCAGGATACATACTTCCCTCTCCCAAAAATCTGCAACAAAACCACTGCAGAATTACTACTGTCCCAAAACTGCTATCTCTGCTAGACTTAACAGGAAGTACTGCTGTAAGGCTACTTCTGTCATTTTCATCTGTCCAAACTCAATAGTATTTCACACCATGGACTACAATCTTTCCTGAAGGCTTCACATGAAGAGTAGAAAATGACCATTTCAATAGAGAAATCAAGTTTAAAAAAAAAAAAAAAAAGCTGATTAGAGAGTATTTTAAGGAGAGAATCACATCTTAGCAATGCCACCAAGACAATTCATGAGGGCTTGCTCTACTTAACAGACTTACACCCCAGTTCTATACTTTTGGCACATTAATTCCCCTTCTTTGGGGCAGTAACTCTTCTTCATTAGTTAAGAGTGAAAACTGTAAACATGGACAACTTAGGCTGCTTTAACAGTCACAGAACAAACCTGAAGTGCACTTAAGTGGTTATCCATTCATTCTAAGGAAAGGTAGTTACAAGTGAACACAAATTAAATATCCAGTTTCAGAACACATTTCATCTGGCCTACTCACACGCTGCACGGATTCATTCCCTTGCATCACTCCACACAGTTTCTTCCTTTCAGATTCCCAAGAGGACCACAGAAGTTAGGCAGTGGAGTTGGGGAAGGTGAGTTGCTTTTAATTTGAAATATTGTCAGTTGGCTAACTACTGTTAACAACAGAAAAGCCTACAAAAGCAGTCCTGAAAACGAAGAATTAAATGCAGAGTCTGCAAACAGAAAATGTAATTTTGGCAGAAATATTAAATTAAAAGTTAATTATAATTTCTACCTGTGTATTATATCAAATATTATAATGGGAGGGAAGGGAGAGAAAGAAGGTTCGTAACAGGAAAGGAGTCAAGTACGACCTACATTTCAAGCTGCCAAGAAGTCTGTATCAAACAGTAAACTTCCTGAAGTTTCAAAAGTTTAGAAAAAATTCCCATTTCATAAAAACTATCTTATCTGCCAGTATATAGCTTTAGGTAAGTCACTGGTGTGACATTTTAGATAAAAGCTGCAGTTTGAAAATTACTTTAATTAGATACTTCACCTTGATCCGCCTTCTCGTCCACAGAATACTTAAAGACCTTCTGAAGCTCTTCTGCTTGATTCCATTTACTAAGACCTCTGAATTCTGCAGCCTCCTTCTGTGTGCAGTGCTGTGCAATCACCTTCTTCTTAATATCTTTCAATTCTTCATAAGTAAAGTATTCCATCAACATTGGCTGAAAAACCTAAAGCAAAGAAACAAGGGTAAATAAAGTCTGCTGCTGACAAATACAGTTGATAATGCTATACAGACCTACAAGCACAGAATTTCCTGTTTCAAATTCTCTCCAAGTAAAACATGTCCTACATTAAAATAACGTAAGGACAGGACTATGGACGTTTTGAGTTCCAACCCTCTGTTTCCAATGGACCACTGCACAGTCTCAGGCAAGCTGTTTAACTGTTTTCTCCAACAGAAAAGGGAAGCTATTAAGGTTGCTTAAACTACATAACTTATCGAGGTACTCACACAGAAGGCAAATTGGCAAGGAAGAAAAACATAAGAAAAGGCTTCCCTTGGACAGACTTTGGAAGATCTGCTCTCTCCAGAAGATGCTTCCCAGGTTTTGGATACCCATAAATCATCAGACTGGCAGTACTAGTCTATGTTTCAAATATAGGTCAGAGGCTGCCTGGGAGTGTCAGTTTGAGTCATAAAGCACTGCTTTGTTTCCCTTTAAGTTTTCTTATACTTCCCCTTAAATACCTACCTCCTGCAAACAAATCCCAGCCCCAGTGGATGACTGTTATCAACTTCTGAAGTACCCAAATTTCATAATAAATTTTCAATATATTCACTGTTCCAGAATGTGTCACTTTGCAGTCAAGAGCACAGAACAATTACACCACAGTCCTGAATGCCAACTGACATACTACCAAGAATGGAGAATTGTTAAAAAACTGAACCTCTAAGCCCTCTGCCTCTTCTTAGTCATCCCTACCCCCAAAAAAGATCAGCATAATATTTAAGGACAATTTCTACCTACCTCCTCTTCCTCTTTCATATGAGGAAGGAAATCCCTGGTAAAGGCTTCCAGTCTCTCCTTCAGCTGTTTCGCATAGTTCAGCTGTTCATATTCATTCTAAGTAGAAAGCAAAGATTTAACTATTCTCGTCCATTCACTCAACATCTGAACTGTTAAATAAACTAGTATTTTCAAAGTAAATCCCATTATGTCTTACCTGTGCACGCAGCATGTTTGCTGTATTTCACAGTAAGAATGTGTTCACTTAAAAAGTTTCATGACAAGCTGACAGTCTGTATGGCCTCTTACTAGGCAGAACAAAGTCTTCTCCTTCCTGCCTGATTCCAATTTATTTTGTTATGAAATATGAAATAACTTGTCTAATCACATTTTTACTTCAGAGCAAAGACTGAGTCTGCCAATCTACAGTCTCACCCAAAGTTCAAAGTAGTTACAGACTAAGCTAAGTATTTGCCTAAGAATTATTGTAGGATACAGCAGTTCCACTTTATCTTTTAAATGCATACATTTCACCTTAGTAATTCTACAATTCTAGTTCCAAATTAGAATTTGGAGTCCCAAATGCTCTCTGTTCATTTTCAAAAGAAAACTTAATTTTCAAAGAAAAGACATAACTGACTTTTAAATGTTAAAGTTAGACCATCTCATCTATGAATTTGTTAGCTTGTTCTCTGTGCCAGTAATGAGAAGCTGGCTCTGAAGTCTACATTAATTGCAACATACTGAAGTTCCTCATAGCCCTTACAGTAAATGTTGTAAGTTTTTATTTTCAAACTTCTACAACATCAGGAAACTCTGTTACAGAAAAAAGCTCAGAGCCATCAGTTTAAATTAAACTAACCAATGTTTAATCACAAAGTTAAACAGTTAACATATCTAAAGAAAGCTAAAGAAATCTGTTTTTCCACACTTAGGAATTACCAGAATAACACCAGCACCCAATCAGAGCAGGTATAACACAAAGCCAAGCATTAATTTTCCCCTCTCCTACACTTTCATTCATTTTCCACTTCATTAAAGGAAACAACTTAAGACAAATTTTAGGCTTTGATAAGCAGAGGGAAAAAACTACTTGCAGGATTCCGATATTTAAACAGTAAAATGGAATCCATCAACTGCGTATTAGTATTTTTATTAAGGAAAATATGGATAACATGTACTAAAAAACTGATACCGGGTGTCAGAAAATTACTGAAGACTAGAGTTCCTAAAGTGCAGGAAGGGGGAATTGAGTTGGGCACCCCAGAGAAAAGACACAGTACAATTCAAGTACGATTCTACTGAAGAATAATTTAACAACTTTAAGTTATGAAAAAGCCAGCTGGATAAATAACATTTACAGTTTCTTGAGGACTGGAACATTAACAGCATTACTGAGTAACAGATTACTGGAAGGAGTACCTGACTCACTAATGGAACATAACAATGCCTTTTTTTTAAAAAGTCCATTAATCATCTCCATTTGTGACAAAAATACAATGTTATGTGCCACACAAGAAAAAGATATTTGGGATTTCCTGACAAATTCATAAGAAAAATTATTTCCATCATCAGAAAATGCTAAATTCTCCCTCCTTGGTCTATTTGTAGAGAGTATCGAGAAAATTTGAAGCAAATTAACAGATAATCACAGCATGTTTTCCTTCAGACACGAGGCCCTTTTTACAGTCTACTCACCTTTACATTCTTCAACCCTTTCTCAAAGAGGCTGAGCATCTCTGATAGTTTGTTGTCCGAGTGCACATTGTACACTGTCCGGCTACGTTGCTGAAGTAAACCAATGATACACTCATTTTCAATCTGCTCATGCATTTTAAATTCCTTGAATGTGGCATAAAGAGACTGCAGAAGAGCCCGAAAATCATTGTTGTTGGAGAAGTTGGTCTTGGAAAGCTAGAAGAAAGAGAAGTTCATTAAAAATAAATGAAAAACATGTAAAGGTCAAGCTAAATCCTTAGAACACTATTAGGCTCCTGTTATTAATTGCTCACATTTCTTATAGCATAAAAGCTGAAAACCTTCAGTTTTGTAAAGAAAACAGGCAAAAATAAAAACTGAATTTGCAGTTCAAGAGCAATCCACTTCAAAGAGACAAAAAATTAAGAATAATTAATGCTCTGAATTCCTATCTTCAAGCACAACAGATAAATATCAGATATTCAAGTGCATAGACAGGAAAACACAAACTAGTCTTCTGGTGTCCAGAGGAGGCAGACTTGGGAGTGTTGGCTGAGAAGCTCAACATGGGCCAGCAACGTGCACTTGCAGCCCAGAAAGCAAACTGTATTCTGGGCTCCACTAAAAGAAGCATGGCCAACAGGCTGTGGGAGGCAATTCTCCCCTTCTATTCTGCTCTGGTGAGACCTCACCTGGAGTACTGTGCCCAGTTCTGGAGCCCCCAACAAAAGAAGGGCATGGACCTGTTTAAGCGAGCCCCCAGGAGGGCCATGAAGATGATCAGAGGGCTGGAGCACCTCTGCTATGAAGACAGGCTGAGAGAGTTGGGGTTGTTCAGCCTGGAGAAGAGAAGGCTCCCGGGAGACATTATAGCAGCCTTCCAGTACCTGAAAGGGCTACAGGAAACCTGGGGAAGGACTTTCTTACAAGGGTATGTAGTGAGAAGACAAAGGGTAACAGTTTTAAGCTAAAAAAAGGGTAGATTTAGGTTAGATATTAGGAATAAATCCCATGAGGGTGATGAGACACTGGCACAGGTTGCCCAGAAAAGTTGTGAATGGCCCCTCTCTGGAAGTGTTCAAGGCCAGGCTGAATGGGGCTTTGAGCAACCTGGTCTAGTGGGAGGTGTCACAGCCTACAGCAGAAGGATTGGAACTAGGTATTTAAGGTCCCTTCCAACCCAGACAATCCCATGATTCTATTTGAATGGTAACTTTCTCATAATTTATCAGTGCATTAAAATACTATTTAATACAACTTCTTTCAGTTGTAGGCAGAATTAATATTGGCATTTGAATAGTACATATTAACAAACATTTGCATAATATCCCTATTAATACGACTTCTGAAACTATTCAGAGAATTTGTAGTTATTTTAACCTTCATGACTGACTTGCCATTTGATTTTTATCTTTTAACAGGAACTGACACAGACTCTGTAGAAACCACTCAAACTTGTTTTAAAACTTTCAAAAACTCATTATTTATTATTGTTTCATGTATGTTCCTCCTGCAGTTCATTAAAACAGTAAGGTATTCACACTTAAATTCTGTTAACTCCCTAAAATAAGTTAATGGAGCATTTTTACAACTGTGTTGCACTTTGTGAACGAGCTTTAAGTAAACTAAGAGATTTAATTGCACAATTCTGATTTCCAGAGGCAGCTATGTAACTGCATTTCCCATCACAGGCTATGAAGAAGAAGAAAAAAAAAAGCAACTATAAATTATTACAAGGAACCTATGGCAACTACAGAAGTTTAACGAAGCATAATACGTGCAATAATGCACATCATAAAGAAAACTATGTTACATTTAATCAGACAGACTCTGAAGGCAAGTGTCTCATTCCACACGAATGAACAGAGCTTAAGAAAACAGCAAAGGAGAATGATAATTTTTTTTAAGGAATGCAGCTATTCCATTAGCTTTAAGAAGACAGTAAAATCAAAGATGTATTTTTAGGAACGTAAACCAATCTTGTGAAACCTTGAGATAAACAAATGTAGAAAGATTTCCGGGTAGAAACCAAAGCAATCTCCCCAGCCCAGCAGGTAACCGGAAGGCTCAGCCACTTTCCCAAATACACATTTTAGTCTGTACTAAGAAGCCATTCTCTGAGGCGCCTGAGGCCCACCTCTAGGGAGTTATTACCCATGAGGAACACTGAGTCCTATCAAGTGAAAACAAACTATATTAGCTGTTAGAGAAGGTTTCTAACAGATCAAGAACCAGAAAATAAACAGCACAAAGTTCTAAGTAACACGGTAGTGCCATTTTTATATGCATACAAACAGTCCCCATTAGCAACAACACATTTTAAAACTGCATCTTCCTTTGGTAAATAGAGAAGTGTAGGGTTTTTTCCATTCTTATGTTTTAGTCCATGTGCAGCTTCGACAATCATAGTTTACAGCAGTATACAAGAGCAAGCATTCTAAAAATAAGAATGTTTTAATTTAACGCAGAAAACAAACCACTGGAGTATTTAGAAGCATTTTAGTTTACAAAGGTTCTGCAATCTAAGGGTTTTACTGGAAACAGGAATCTGAGACATAGATGTTCATACCTAATACTTAAATACATTAAAAATAACCATAAATGAGATATCTAAAATTTTGATAGTTTAAAAAAGCCCAAATGCACTTACTCTGACATTGCTTTGGCACTTCCTGGCAACCGCCAGTGCTGCAACCGAAACACGCTGGACATCTGCCAAGTACTTACACAATGCTAAGTCAGCTGTGCATGCTGTACCTTACATGCTGTACATACAGGCAACATTTTTGCCATTATGGAAAAAAAACATTATTTAGCCTTAGCGGAGCCAGAAAATGGAGCAAGTGAAGGGTTTTTTTTTCCCCAGTATCTTTTAGCCCAACTACCGACGAGTCAGAAAAAATTCTTACATTTGGGATGCACTGTGCTAGGATTTGAGGCGTGAATTGTTATGCTTATACCACAAATTGGAGATGACCTTCTCTCTCCTATGCTAAGCTCAGAGAACGCAGTATTCAGAGCAGTGGTAGTAGATGGAACTACCAGCATAGACTTTCCATGTGGAAAAGCAGAAATCTGAACAAGCACAGAAGATGGGTACACAAATACCCCTTCAGGGTAGCCTCCTTCACCTCAAGCTACTGGGATTCAGACTTAATGGTCAAGTTTAGGGTTTAATGTAGTATTTCTATTGATCAAGGATTGTCTCAAAACTGTCCATTCTACCCACAAGGTTCTACAATACCCGAAGTCAGTCCCCAAAGACCCTATCCCCCAAGAATTCTATTTTCTTCCAAATTCTTGACATTTTGATTGACATAAAAACATATACAAAGCTTCTGAAGTGTGTAACAGGAAGGTTAGGCAAAACTGTTTTATTTTGCTCTTGGGGAAAAAAAAAAAAATCACAAGTGATTTTGACAAAAAAAAAACCATAATCTCATCCTCCTGACTCAAAATGCTTCAGGACTAACTTCTGTTGTACCTACCTATTATTATCAATAAATCTGAAAGAATGAATCCATTTGTGGACACAATTTAAGAATTCCTGGTATAAATCTTATAGAAGCCACTATAATATTTACCTCTGTTACTGAGGCTTCCAGCAGATATCCAAGAGATTAGGAACTATGGAAAGGACATTGAAGTTTAACGACTGTACTTGAATCAGCAATCACTACATTAAAAAAAGTCAGCTGAAGCTCAAGAAAACTGGCTTTTCAGAGGACAGGTAGCCTAGCAACAAAGTCACTTGGTCAGATCTGTAACTTCATTACCAGGACCGGTGATGTCCTATGATGGGGGACCAGGAATACAGGACTATTAACAGACAGCAGCTGCTCCACTCTTGAGGTTTACTTTTTACCAGCTCTACTACACACAGTAAACTAGTACAGGACTTTAGTAGGGCAAAAAGAAAACCACTACCCCCCAAATTCAGACTGAGAATCCCAAGAGATTTCCCAAGGGAGAGGAAACAGATTGGATTTTGGGTATTTGCTGACAGGTAAAAAACAAAGCACAAAGCATGTGATCCCTGAGCAGGCTTGTAACACACTGAACTAAACTGATTACCACAGACACAGGTGTCAGAGATACCTGAGAGCATGCTAGACTTCTGAAGACACTACACAACTAAGTAACAACACAATTGTTTTTGTATTTGAAATGCAAACTGGAATTCAGGAGCAGCACTGAAGACTAAAAAGTCATGGTGCCTCCTCAACCCTCACAAAATTTCAGAATTTTATGTAACCAAGACAGTTTGAGCAAGGGGCTGAACAGTCAATCGCATTCCAAATTCTCTCTGTAACACTTCACAGACCTTTGGCTGATGCAGGCATACTCTAAAAGTAGCCAGGAGCTGTTAAACTCAGTATTAACTTTATTAACAAATAAACCAAACAAACAAAAACACCACCAATAAAACACCACCACATGTCAACTTTATTTCATGTAAACTGGGGAAGGCATATCCATAATCCAAACTCCACTGTGTTGTCAGCAGTGAAGTAAAGCACAATGTCACAAAATGTACCAAATCTATTCAAGTAAAAGCACAAGGGGACAGTCACACTAACCTAGCACTGCTGTTCTCCTCTAAAGTTCTTCATACTTAACTGGTCAATGTAGGGCTTTTGCAGCATACAGTACTTTAATAAAGACTGAAATAAAAATCAGAAATATTGATTTTTTTCATCAAGGTTGAAAGCAATGCATAAACTAGTATTACTAGTATTATTAATAAGTAGATCTTGGAAATTCTAAACCATTGATTAAAGATAAAGTAATTCCATTCTTCCTTTGCAGGAAAAAATAGTTTTCCCACTAAGACTGGTAACAGTGGAATGTTTTTTCTAACTGCTGGGTCTTCAAGGTCACACCTTCACTCTGCCAGCTCAGACACTACAGGGAGATCTATGAGCCCCCCATAGGAGGCTGAGTTAGACAGCAAAATTGGCCAGAGATATTCCATTCCATATATCTACGTAAGCTCAGAGGAAGCTTCTGGGACAGATCCCAGAAGACAACTTCCTTCCTGTTTCTTCTTCCCTTCTCTCCCGTCCATGGCCGGCGTCCAGGGAGGACTCCATCCATCCATCACTATCAACCCTGAGGCTCAAGCTCTCCTGACCCTCATCATTCTGCTCTCTCTTTGGCAGCAGTCTGGAACTATTTGGGACTGTTCGCAGCTCAGGAGATGTTGTGGGAAT